GCGTTTCCAAACGTTAACTGGTCACGGGTTCGCGGGAGCACGATATTATACTCTTAGACGTCCGGCGAGCTTGTCGACGGACGTCTATAATATTATAGACGTCCGGTTCATCACTAATGTGACGTCTTTGAGGATTTAAAAATGATATTCGCGGGTGGGTTAAAACGTCAGTCCTTGGTTGCGCCGACGTCTTTAAGATGATAAACGTCCGTTTTAGGGGGCTGACGTCTATTATACTGAACAATTGAACGTTTCAACTACCCCATGGCAGCCCCTCAACGTCAGTCCTAAGAGGGCCCGGACGTCTATAATATTATAAACGTCCGGCCCCGTAGATTGGACGTCTCAGGACCTGAAGAGAATTAAATATCCAACCACCCTATCAGTACATTAAACGTCCGGTATGCGGGCACGGATGTCTATAATATTATAGACGTCCGAGCCCGCCCAAAACAGACGTTTAAGGACCTGAAGAGAATTAAATATCCAACCACCCTGTCAGTACATTAAACGTCCGTTATGTGGGCACGGACGTCTATAATATTATAGACGTCCGAGCCCTCCCAAAACGGACGTGTAAGGTCCCTACTTGGGAAATTGAAACGTTCAGTGTCAGCCTCGTAGACGTCCGTCCCCCTAACACGGACGTTTAAGGGCTGCCATGGGTACTTGAAAACGTTCAGCTTATAAACGTTCAGTTGTCAGCCTTTTAACGTCCGTCTCCTAGGACAGACGTTCACTGAAGTATAAACGTCCGTCTCGGCCAGGGACGGACGTTCAAAGGCTGCACATGGTTTTCACTGTTCAATCTATTAAACGTCCGTCACTTAGGATGGACGTTCACTCAAGTATAAACGTCCGTCTCGGCAAAGGACGAACGTTCAAAGGTAACACATGGTTTTCACTGTTCACCTTATAAACGTTCAGTTGTCTGCGTATTAAACGTCCGTCACATGGGACGGACGTTCAAAGAGCTGATAGGTGTTTACTAGTTCAGCCTATTAAACGTCCGTCACCCAGGACGGACGTTCATAACATTATAAACGTCCGTCTCGACAAGGGATGGACGTTCAAAGAGCTGATAGGTGTTTAGTAGTTTAGCCTATTAAACGTCCGTCACCCAGGACGGACGTTCATAACATTATAAACGTCCGTCTACACAAGGGACGGACGTTCAAAGGGCTGACACGTGTTCACTTGTTCAGCCTATTAAACGTCCGTTACCAAGGACGGACGTTCAGAACATTATAAACGTCCGTCTCGACCAAGGACAGACGTTCAAAGGGCTGACACGTGTTCACTTGTTCAGCCTATAAACGTCCGTCACCAAGGACGGACGTTCATAACATTATAAACGTCCGTCTCGATCAAGGACGGACGTTCAGAGGCTGACAGGGGTTCAATTGTTCACCCTATTAAACGTCCGTTTGCCAACGCTGGACGTCTATAATCTTATAGACGTCCGGCTCGACCCAGGACGGACGTCTACAGTTCCACTTATTTACTAATATGCCACCGGTCAATTATATACGTTGTGGCTTTTGTGGACGGACGTCTATTGGGAGACGTTAAAACCCCTTTCTGCACTAGTGAACAAAGGGTTTCAATTACAGTTCTGAAGTGAGAGAGAAAAATTTGGGGAAGAGGTTCTGCGGAAACAAAAATTGGGAGAATAAAGAGGGAAATCCCAAATTTTCATTTCATTAGGTCGATCACCATACCGACGGCCTATGAAGCCTTCGGTAAACTTACAAAAAGCCTTCGGTAATCAACCACTAACATGACCTTCGGTGCATCCTTCGGTAAGTCAATCTTACCGAAGGCCTCAGAGGCCGTCGGTATTATTCCTTCGGAAAATAACCGTTTTCCTGTAGTGATAGTTCTGGGCGATATAGTAAGTCTGCGCATTTACGTGAACATATTATAACGTAGTTTCTGAAGTCCGTCATAATATGCACAATTTATTATGACAAATTTTCATTTGTCCGTTATAATAGGTGGAAGGTATTATGACGTAGAAGTTTTTGTACGTTATAATATGTGATCTATTATTACGTATATATTTTTGTACATTATAATATGTGATCAACCTATCATAACCTACATTGTTTAGTACGTCATAATATATGTTGTTTTAAAAAAATTAATATTATGATCTCATCCAATCAATATAACTTCAAATAAACAAATTTAATGATGTTAACAAAATAGAATTCATTTCAAACATTAAATAGTCTAATAATTTAATACATCATTTATACATGAAAATATATATTAAATCCAAATATTACATACACTATTGAATACAAATAAAACAATAGAGTTAAAACAACATTGTAATGAATAGTTGGATAAGTATTTAGTTAGTATTGCATTAATCAACTCACATATGAGAGAAGGGTAGGAGAGTACTTGATCATTCCACCAGTCACTGTTCCTCTTACTGGATCTTGCCATTGTTTGAAAAGGTCCTGAATGAGTTCCTGTCTATGAGCTTGGGCGTAGACAAAACCAACATACTTTGTAATTTCCGGATAATCTTGGGAAGCCACAACCTACAGTTTTTAACACCTCATTACGATTTAAATAGCTTATAACTTGAGTTGTTTGATCAAAAATTCATACAACTGCAATTGATGGGCTCGAATCCTCTCCAGGATGTGGATGAGTCACATCAGCTCCAAAAATAATAGTGGGTCTGTCTCCAACAAAGGGGATGCGCCGTGAAAGTGCATCAACAAGTATAGTGTTTCTCCCTCCCACTTTGACATTAATTTTCAATGCCACATTTGCGAGGTACTGCTTGCTCATTTTAAAGACGTGCTTAGTCAAACAACATTGTGAAACTAGTCCAAGATCTGTCTCACATATACGTTTGAGATCACCTAAACAAAAAATGATACATATTAAGATATTTTCACAAGTTTGATGGGTACAACAGAAGAATAAATTAACAAGATCATGGTCATGCACCAACCATAAAGAGATCCATCATTGTCAGGTAAAATAACAATGAGCAAATAATCAAAACACTGCATTCAAAACAATTTCATTAAAAGGAATATATACAAACCATGCCAAATATATAACACATCTGAGCAAAAGTTCATAGCAAAAGCCACGGGCAACGCTATCCTGAACACTCCTTGAAAAATTGATGCAGAACCAATGGTTAACAGTACCCCCATTTACCATTTTCTGAAAGAAATAGAAATTTGTTATTATTCATCAAATGAAAGTCAACAAATAATCAGATTGCGAGCCATAAGCCAGACATTTTCTATCCTTCATAAAGTCATTCCAAAGACAAACACCTCGTCACCATGCATGTATTTGAACATGATACATTCAAATAGAACCTTACTCAAACTTACAAACTCTAACGAAAACTTAAAAACCAACCCACTACAGCTCACACCTTCAAACCGTTCAAGAAAGAAAAACCACACATTCTATATTATCATTGTATAATGTACATAACCACCACACAAAAAGGCACCAAACAAGTACGTTATTCATCATATTCCACTACCCAACTTGAGGAAGACAATCCTCTCTCTACCTGTATCATGATATTTGAGCTGAAGAAAACAAAATCAATGGTTATTAATTAGAAAAACAATACCTAAATTTCTAAAATTTAATAAGTTGATCTTGATATTAAAAAAAAGTACCCAGGGTGCAGGTAGGATGCGTGCTTGAGCAAGCTTCTCGCTAATTTTGATTCCAAACTCTTGGGCGTAACACTACAAGAAATGTCTTATTTACCGAAGGACTAATACCGAAGGTCTCTTGAGCCGTCGGTAAAGATGAATTACCGAAGGCTTTACCGAAGGTCAATGAAGATGGTTATTATGGACGGCCTATGCCCGTCGATAATGGGCAACTAATTTACCGAAGGTGTTTGGCCATCGGTATAGGCATGGACATATTGAAATCAGGAATTGGGATTTCCCTCTTCCATTTTCCCAAAATCCGTATTCGCGAAAGCAACCTGCCCTCCGTTTGAGTTCACTCCCCTCTCCCCCATGTAATCTCTGTCTCCCTCTCTCGTTCAGAGTTTGAAAGCACCATTGAAGTTGAACCCCACTTGTCTATTACGGTTCCGCCATCGCCATTAGACGTTCTCGAGCTCCTCTCCATACTCCAAAAGTGTGTGGGGTTGAAGGACGGAGGCATTGACGTGACGACTTCCATTGTGGACGGTGCTTCTCTTAGGGTTTGTTCACGACGGTCCTTTGGCGGCGTGAGGAGGTGTTGTCGCTGCGTCAGGGGTGGTGTCGTGACGTGAAGAGGTTGGGGGAAGAAAGTGTTACTGATCTGGGGTTTCGTTTGGTTTGATTTGATTTCAGCGGTTACCTGTTCAAGCTTCTACTTATCGGTGACTCTTCCGTCGGGAAATCATGCTTGCTTCTCTAATTCGCTGTCGGTCTCTCATCACTTCACCGTATTTCCCCTTCTCTTTTGCTTTCTCTCATCTTTTCATTTCCTTTCCTTGCAGGATAACTCGTATGTGGACAGCTACATAAGTACCATTGGAGTTGCTTTCGTAATCATCACTTCTCTTCTTTTATTTTCTGACTCTTTCTCTTTGTCTTTCTATTTATGTCCCGACAATTTTTCTTCTCTTTGTCCAGAAAATTAGAACTGTCGACCTACAAGGAAAAACCATCAAGCTCCAGATTGTGAGTTTTCTTTTCTTATGCTCTATTTTTAGATTTTGATGATAACTATTTATCACGCCTTTTACTATCTATTATCTATTTTGATTATCTTATGTTGCACTAGTGCAGCGAGGGGATTTTACCGCGGTTATTTTTCACTATACGTCGCGGTTTACGAACCGCGGCATATTCAGCCGCGGTAGTAAGTCAGAGACTTTAGGCCGCGGTTATGACCGCGGTATATAGGGTGCGGAATATGCCGCGGTTGTCCAAGGAACCGCTGCCTAAATCCATTTTTTTTAAAAAAAAAAAAATTTTGTCCACTATATGCCGCGGTTCAATCGCGGCAAAAGACTGTAGTATATGCCGCGGTTTTAGCACTAACCGCGGCCATATGTCTCATTTTACAAAAAAACGAAACATTATATGCCGCGGTTGTAGTTACAACCGCGGCATATTCCCCTGCAGTTGTTTAAAATTGTAGGTCTGTTTTTGTGATATCCACTACCACAAAAACAGACCTACATATAAAAACATGTACTCAAATTCAATTTGAACATAACAAACACATGTTCAAATGTATTTCAACATCAAATAAAGTACAAAGTCTAAGAAAATTCAATCTAATCAAATGCAATGTTTAAATCTAAGAGCTATTGTATAATCTAATTATATACTTCGCAGCAGCGTTCCTAATGAATAATAGTGACTTCTCAGGAACTGGTGTAGTAGTCTTGAATCTCTGCAAAAGACAATTCATATTAATTAGTGTATATGAATTCAACATTTGGGAAAAAATCAAAATTTGTTAAAGTTAAAGATTACCGTTTCCCAGCGACTTGTGATGTGAGAACGAACAATATGGGCCATCCAATACATTACATAGTATCCGCACTCATATGACTCATTTTGTTTGTTACACTACAATATATCATCACAGTTGATAATAGTTAGTGAATANGTTTTCACTGTTCACCTTATAAACGTTCAGTTGTCTGCGTATTAAACGTCCGTCACATGGGACGGACGTTCAAAGAGCTGATAGGTGTTTACTAGTTCAGCCTATTAAACGTCCGTCACCCAGGACGGACGTTCATAACATTATAAACGTCCGTCTCGACAAGGGATGGACGTTCAAAGAGCTGATAGGTGTTTAGTAGTTTAGCCTATTAAACGTCCGTCACCCAGGACGGACGTTCATAACATTATAAACGTCCGTCTACACAAGGGACGGACGTTCAAAGGGCTGACACGTGTTCACTTGTTCAGCCTATTAAACGTCCGTTACCAAGGACGGACGTTCAGAACATTATAAACGTCCGTCTCGACCAAGGACAGACGTTCAAAGGGCTGACACGTGTTCACTTGTTCAGCCTATAAACGTCCGTCACCAAGGACGGACGTTCATAACATTATAAACGTCCGTCTCGACCAAGGACGGACGTTCAAAGGGCTGACACGTGTTCACTTGTTCAGCCTATAAACGTCCGTCACCAAGGACGGACGTTCATAACATTATAAACGTCCGTCTCGATCAAGGACGAACGTTCAGAGGCTGACAGGGGTTCAATTGTTCACCCTATTAAACGTCCGTTTGCCAACGCTGGACGTCTATAATCTTATAGACGTCCGGCTCGACCCAGGACGGACGTCTACAGTTCCACTTATTTACTAATATGCCACCGGTCAATTATATACGTTGTGGCTTTTGTGGACGGACGTCTATTGGGAGACGTTAAAACCCCTTTCTGCACTAGTGAACAAAGGGTTTCAATTACAGTTCTGAAGTGAGAGAGAAAAATTTGGGGAAGAGGTTCTGCGGAAACAAAAATTGGGAGAATAAAGAGGGAAATCCCAAATTTTCATTTCATTAGGTCGATCACCATACCGACGGCCTATGAAGCCTTCGGTAAACTTACAAAAAGCCTTCGGTAATCAACCACTAACATGACCTTCGGTGCATCCTTCGGTAAGTCAATCTTACCGAAGGCCTCAGAGGCCGTCGGTATTATTCCTTCGGAAAATAACCGTTTTCCTGTAGTGATAGTTCTGGGCGATATAGTAAGTCTGCGCATTTACGTGAACATATTATAACGTAGTTTCTGAAGTCCGTCATAATATGCACAATTTATTATGACAAATTTTCATTTGTCCGTTATAATAGGTGGAAGGTATTATGACGTAGAAGTTTTTGTACGTTATAATATGTGATCTATTATTACGTATATATTTTTGTACATTATAATATGTGATCAACCTATCATAACCTACATTGTTTAGTACGTCATAATATATGTTGTTTTAAAAAAATTAATATTATGATCTCATCCAATCAATATAACTTCAAATAAACAAATTTAATGATGTTAACAAAATAGAATTCATTTCAAACATTAAATAGTCTAATAATTTAATACATCATTTATACATGAAAATATATATTAAATCCAAATATTACATACACTATTGAATACAAATAAAACAATAGAGTTAAAACAACATTGTAATGAATAGTTGGATAAGTATTTAGTTAGTATTGCATTAATCAACTCACATATGAGAGAAGGGTAGGAGAGTACTTGATCATTCCACCAGTCACTGTTCCTCTTACTGGATCTTGCCATTGTTTGAAAAGGTCCTGAATGAGTTCCTGTCTATGAGCTTGGGCGTAGACAAAACCAACATACTTTGTAATTTCCGGATAATCTTGGGAAGCCACAACCTACAGTTTTTAACACCTCATTACGATTTAAATAGCTTATAACTTGAGTTGTTTGATCAAAAATTCATACAACTGCAATTGATGGGCTCGAATCCTCTCCAGGATGTGGATGAGTCACATCAGCTCCAAAAATAATAGTTGGTCTGTCTCCAACCAAGGGGATGCGCCGTGAAAGTGCATCAACAAGTATAGTGTTTCTCCCTCCCACTTTGACATTAATTTTCAATGCCACATTTGCGAGGTACTGCTTGCTCATTTTAAAGACGTGCTTAGTCAAACAACATTGTGAAACTAGTCCAAGATCTGTCTCACATATACGTTTGAGATCACCTAAACAAAAAATGATACATATTAAGATATTTTCACAAGTTTGATGGGTACAACAGAAGAATAAATTAACAAGATCATGGTCATGCACCAACCATAAAGAGATCCATCATTGTCAGGTAAAATAACAATGAGCAAATAATCAAAACACTGCATTCAAAACAATTTCATTAAAAGGAATATATACAAACCATGCCAAATATATAACACATCTGAGCAAAAGTTCATAGCAAAAGCCACGGGCAACGCTATCCTGAACACTCCTTGAAAAATTGATGCAGAACCAATGGTTAACAGTACCCCCATTAACCATTTTCTGAAAGAAATAGAAATTTGTTATTATTCATCAAATGAAAGTCAACAAATAATCAGATTGCGAGCCATAAGCCAGACATTTTCTATCCTTCATAAAGTCATTCCAAAGACAAACACCTCGTCACCATGCATGTATTTGAACATGATACATTCAAATAGAACCTTACTCAAACTTACAAACTCTAACGAAAACTTAAAAACCAACCCACTACAGCTCACACCTTCAAACCGTTCAAGAAAGAAAAACCACACATTCTATATTATCATTGTATAATGTACATAACCACCACACAAAAAGGCACCAAACAAGTACGTTATTCATCATATTCCACTACCCAACTTGAGGAAGACAATCCTCTCTCTACCTGTATCATGATATTTGAGCTGAAGAAAACAAAATCAATGGTTATTAATTAGAAAAACAATACCTAAATTTCTAAAATTTAATAAGTTGATCTTGATATTAAAAAAAAGTACCCAGGGTGCAGGTAGGATGCGTGCTTGAGCAAGCTTCTCGCTAATTTTGATTCCAAACTCTTGGGCGTAACACTACAAGAAATGTCTTATTTACCGAAGGACTAATACCGAAGGTC